ATAATAATAATAAGAGCAGGGCAAATAATAAGAAACAGAGCAAGACCATGCAATTTTAAGTCAGTAACAAAGTAAAACATCCACAAAATAAAGTCTTCACACAAAAATAAGATACAATCAAGTGGTTGTAGCCTAACTTCAAGAGCAGAAAGAAAAGGTGTACATATGTAATGCATAATTCGGTACAAATGTGCCACAAGGGCAAAATGGGAGAAGGGGGGGAAAGGTTGGTTTTCCACTTTAACTGTAACTTAACTAGCCTCAATCACCCAACCCAACCCATCTGTTTGAATACTGTCGCTTTCACCAAAATATCGCAATTACTTTTTCATACACATAAACCATAATATAACATTTTTTAATCATTTTCCCCAATAAAGCTGCTCAGATGTATGGGGTTACTGGAGTGTTAGAGAATATGAGAAAAACTACTATTAAGGAGAGAGGACAATAAAAGAATAAGACAGAAAATAATGTTTAACATTGCATTTAAATGTTTCAAGGTTAAAATATGACTGGAAACAAGAAAAAAAAGACAGTTCCAATGTTTAAGAAGTAATAGAAGAAATTGTTAGCATAGGACTTTCCACAAGCAAGAAGTACATTTAACCATTTCAACATAGGACAAATGATGAGACCTTTTCAACTGCAAAATGATGAATATAATATGTGCTTAAATTCGTGAAGTCTAGGTACCTTTAGCAGAAAGTTCATCAGAAAATTATGAAAGTATTTATAGAAAAGGCACAGGGAAGCTATGTTACGGTCTGATGTGACATGAAACAGAGATGCCATGTCAGGACCAAAAACATGACCAGATTCTTTTGATTTTATCAAGAATCTCTAAATGCTTAGCCAGAAAAATTGTCTAACATGACATAGTGAATAGACATTCTTAGCTGCAGACTTAGCAATTGATTCAATACAACCTTTCCACTTCATGTCTGAGAAAGAAATGAGTTACTTATTTGGAGGTTAGCATTAGCCATGATGTTAGGAAGGTGAAATGGGTCTCTTAGATGATTAAAAGAAAGTTTTTCATTTTTTGAATCTTAGATTTAAAAAAAGTTGTTTCATTTTGAGCGTTAAAATTAACAAACCACCCATGCCCCAGAAGATTGTAGGTCTTTTTTTTTTTTTTTTTTTTAAAAAAAAAAAAAAGATCAGCTGCCAATTTTACCTTATCAAACCAATCAAACTTAAAAGTAAATAGTTGTGCCTTCAGCATAGATAGAGTTGAGAACTGATGCAATCAATAGGGTCATTGATGAAAATGAGAAACAACAGATACCATGTGAGTGTCCCCAGGATAGAACCCTGGGGGGACACTTACATTAATGTGAAAGGATCTAGAAGCATGGCTATTCAAGACAACATTCATTTCATGATGTGATAAAGACTGAATCAGTTCAAAATAATCTATCAACTTGTGAAGAAAACCAATATGCCAAACTGTTTGCCTTTGAGAGGTCCAAAGCAAAAACCTAAGCTTCACCATTCTTAATAGACTCTTTCAGCAATAATTGTTAACACATCAGCAGTTGACAGAGAAGCAAAAGCCGTATTGCTTACCTGAAAAGAAAGAAGATCCTGCAATGTGAGATGCTTAACCAATTCAGAGTTAATTAGAGCCTCTAGTACCTTGACAAAAAAAGGTAGAAGGCTAATAGGCTGTTTCTTCTATCAGCCTGAGTTCTTAAAGAAAGCTTTCACCTTTACGCTTATTTATGCTTTATGGAAAATATATTATAAAGAAATTAAAATAAGACTGTTAAAGTGACATTAAATTTCATAAGAAAGGTACCTATAAATTAATTAGATACCTTTCTTATGAAATTTTATCAAAGTGTACATAAAATACTATAATTTTATGTACATTTATTACATTTACTGTGTTATTTGTATTTCCATTCATTTTATTAATTTTGATATTTAATTCATGGAAAATATCATAACTGAGATTAATATAAAATAAGATCATATAAATTTCATAAGATGATACTGATACTTGTAGGTACCCTTCTCAGTTAAGATTGAAAATCAAATTAACTTCTCCACACGTGTTTTGCAAAGAAGTAAAGGCCTTAACAGTGGAGAACAATGCTTAACTCAAAATAACACAACTTAATTATATTCTGGTTGGTCTTCCATACTTTATAATTACAGCCTGATTATAAACACAAAATCACATTTCTCAATTACTTTTATCTTCTGATTAGTCAAAATGATACAATTTACAACGACTAAAAAAAGATCTATCTCATAAGAGACTTAGGAAACCCAATGTGGCTTTTAACTAATTTTATAATAATTTAACAAATTAAATGTAAAATTTATTATAATTAAAAAAAACATAATTGTATTAAAAATTCATCTTTCATTGGAAAATTTTTTGCTTTCAGAAACTATTGTCCATATTTATAAAAGCAAATGAAAGCATTTGAAATTAAATAATATATTTGTTTTATTGAGTTTTGTATGTTACAATTCAGAGCTGATTTTCAGGTGTCCAATTAAAACAAAAATAAAAAAACCACGATTTGCATTCCTTAAAGCCTTGTGCTTTTAACTATCATAATCACTAAACCCGGATAATGATCAATTTCTAGCTTTTCATAAAATTAGTTATGGGTTTGTAATAAATATATAAAAAAAAAAAATCTGCCATGAATTTTATAAAAAAAATATAATTATAATAATTTCAATCATCTGTGAATAGTTCCTGAAAGTTTCATCAACATCTGACAATTATTTTTATTTTTGCAAGATTTTCCAAATTAATGTAAAACATACCAAAAAAACGTGCTAAAAAATTGTCTATGTTATTTTACTAGTTCCGTGATACAAAGAAAAAGTTTTTTTTTTTTTTAATCAAAATTTAGAATGTTCTAAAAAGAAGGAAAAACTTTAAAAATAATTAAAAAAAACTATGTTCTTTCCTCTTAATAATAACATAAACATTTAGATGATAAAATTTTGTTTTCAGCAAGGTTGGCATCTTTTTTCATCAAGCTATGCTCTTTTTTTAGTGATTTCGTGGAGGTACCTAAATTTACTCTATGAATTCCTACCTAGTAATCCCATATGCACAGACTTTGTGGGGGGGCAGGGGGAAAACATTTTACCAAGTATATTTAAAATCTCCTTAATGTGTATTTACAATAAAAATTATATACAAAATTAAATAAAGGATTGTTAGTAAAGTGAACACCACAGTCTAATTGTGGAAGAGATATCAGATAACAGGGGTGAAAATATTGTGGATTTATACAGACCAAATCAGGTAGTCCCACAATCACTCAAAAAAAACAAATACAATAAACATCTTCATGTCCATCCCACGTTTACTAGATAACTGAAATCAGTCACCCAATGGGGAGAAGGAATTAAAAAGAGGGACAAAAGGGGGTGGGGTCGATGTACTTACATTCCCTAGCTAAGAGATCAATAATCAACCTGTGTTGCTGGGATAATGCATACACAATCAGAGAAACCAAAGGCTCTTTCCTAGCCTACCTCAAGCTAACAATCTAACTTAGCTCCATTCAAGCAAACAAATTGTGAAACATTCACCTCTTGCCAAAATTTCAATGAAGAGAGTCACTTTATTCCATCTAAATTTTGATTTTAAGCTGATGCTTAAAACCAAAATCAGTTGAGAAGAGAACTACTCACCCCATGAATTTTCTTCTACCACGTCATCCAAATCATAACGCTCATGATGCCATGTGTTTATGCTTGTTCTGCTGGTCCGGTACAACATTGCTAGCCTGGCCTCAAGGACAAAAAACTTTCTACCAAGCATGCAAAGTTTGCATAATGGACGTACGACATTACAGTTAAAATAGGCATACCCTAGGGACTTATCCTATTCACCACAATGAATGCATTCTGACATAACTGATGACAACACGGAATCAGCCTTTTGCAGACTCAGAGGGCATTCAACTACACCAGCCAGGTGAGTGATGTCTTATCATTAATGAGACACCTAAAGCCGGGTACCAAAAGACCACAAAGAGCAATAACTCCTGCTGCTTCAAACTGAGCTCATCCATCAGATTATCATGAATAGCCCTCCTCGCTAACACATAATGCCTTCTGAGATAAAGTCCATGTGCCAATGAAGCCTTCTGACAATTGGGTTAGAAGGAGCCTTAGCTGAGTGCAAACAGCAGACCCCCCCACTTGCTTTCCTGCACACTTCTAAAAACTGTAAAGGCTTTCCTAGTGTCTTCCTTGCAGAAGTCACAGTTACCCCTATTTTGCAAATGCACTCAATCCAGGAAATTGAGCTTTAGCATATGTTGACGTATCTCAACACTAGGTATTTCTAGACCCGCCTTTAGACAGATAGAGGAGGCACAAGAGACTAAACAAAACGCAAAACTAGTTTAGCACACAGGAGTGGAAACAGAAAGAAAGATTTGTAGGGCAAGGATGAGAAGAATGAGGGGTAATATTCCATCATGATAATGATTGATTTTATATTTCTTGATGAGCAGAAAAAATTACAAAATTGTCTAAGAATTTTTTCTCATCCAACATTCCACAGATATGTCACTTTCGGTTTGTGATTTATTCCATTTGCAGTCGGGATTCTGGTTTTGGATAAAGTTGGTAATTCACCCTAAGGTTGGAAAATTTAAATAACAGCAAACAGACACAGCAACAGTTTTGGCATATCCTGAAAAGCAAAAAGCAAGGATAGAAATAATGAATTTGTGAATTTTTCCTAAAAAAAAAAAACTTTGACCATCAGGCCGTCATTTAGGGAAACAGTTTGTTTTTTTTAATTTTGATTGCTTGAAGTTTGTTTACTTTAAATCTTTTATATTATAATACAAGTGACATAAATGAGAATAACTGATTAAATTTCAAAGTCAATTTTCTGAAGACCAATCAAATGTAAATCATAAATGGCCATAGAATTAGACAAAATTTATCATTAAAAACACTAGCAGTAAGATTCTTTTACTTTCAGTCATTACTGGACTTACTTGATGCTTGTTGATTTCGACTGAGAGCTGCAGCTAAGGCAATTGCAGTTGTACTTGGAAAACCACTGAATGGATTAGGACCTTGCTGAGATTCAAGAGCAGGTATATCAGTTTGACAAGAAGCTTTCTTTTTTAGCTCAAAGATATCTTTTGTATCTCCAAGGAAAATACGTCTGTAGTTCAAATACTTTTCCTTTAATGTCTGAAATAATAGCAATAACAGAAAATAAATGTTTCTTTTTTATTAAATTTTGTAGATATTATCTGTTCTCTCTAGTCACAAGTACCATAAAATGCTTTACATTTAAAATATCATTATTATTACAGTATAAAAAATGTAACAAATTTAAAATATCAAAAACAATGTGGTGTGGGCTAAAAGTAACCAAGAATACAATAGAAAACTGGATTAAAATTGAAATGCCAAACAAAATGATTTTATTCTAGAGATTCATAGAACTTTTCATCAGTCAGTGAACATTGACAATGAAAAATTAGCCTACATAGATATGAAGGAATGGTGAAAAAAAAAAAAAAAAAAAGCTCAGTCGCATCAACTTCCAAAATCAATATTCTGAAAATGATTTACAGAAGTTGTGACACTGAGAACACGAAGGAGTTAATATTAAAATGAAGTATATATAAGCTGAGAGAGAGAGTGAGTGAAAGGCATTTTCCCTGGCGACAGGAAATGAAGGAGCCATCTGGGTTTTTCTCTCTACTTGCTGGGACGAGGCAGGTTGATGCAGCCAAAATTTTTTATCTATCAAAGATCTGACCATGCAGCAAAATCTCCTTGAAATAATTTATTTTTTCCATAGCTGGGACGAGAAAAATAAGCCTTCCCATATGACTTAAGGGTCAAATGTATAGATGGGTTGGAAGTTAAGAAAACAAGTTCTGTCATTTTAAGGAGAGTGTCTGGTTTATATTTTTGGTGGAAAGAGATAAGTAAAAAAAACAAAAAACAAAAATAAAAGCAAGGAAACCAAAAATAATGGTTTTTGCTACATGTTTTAAAATTACATGATATCACAAAGACTGTTCTTGCTTGCTCTGAAGTAATCCTAAAGTTGATTTGAGAGGGTAAAAAAGATATAAATAAGTATTGATGGATGGTGTTGAGGTGAGAGGAGTGATCTCTGTAACTATTCCCAAGGAAGGTGGATAATTCTTAAATTAAAAAGTTCGTTGAGAAAGTAGAAATAGAGGGACAAAGAAACCTTGTTGAGATTAATGGATAGTTGAAAATAATGACGTAATAATGTCGTTTTTTGACATATTTTTTAAAGGTCAAAAAACAACATTATTAAGTCATTATTTTTGCACCAACCTAATAATTGGGGAATTACCAAATCTCCAGAACTCATCAGACCAATCACAGTTATGGGCCAAAATGCATATAAGCAGACAGTTTTGGAAGCTTAGCAAATTTCTGCATCAGTGCTTCTGGAATCCACATCAGATGCCACGAGACCTCCTGAACAAGAATCCTGAACCCAACTCTTTGGCCAAAGTATCACTATAGAGATTGATGCAAGAAGGGTTAATTTTTGTTGTACCAATAACTACATAAACCAATTGAAGATTAACCCAATGATCCTTTGGTTTTTGCCTACTTTTTGTTTGTGAAAATATTTCTTCCCTTAATATAGCTACTGACAGTTTGACCCAGTGCTACAATTACTATGATATTTGATCTGTCAGTGCAATGTGGGCAGAATGGGTGCAGATCTCATTCCTTTCAACAACGAGCCATTACGCCATGGTATTGACCAGTGTGACAACCTATTAAAGAACATATATAGAAAAAACCCTGTGAACTGGATCAATAAAATAACAAAGATATATATAATATATATATATATATATATATATATATATATATATATATATAAGTATTTGTCTATATCTTTGAGATGAGGTATTATGATTATTTATTATGATTATTCAAAGCTATCCTCTCACCAAGTATAGAAATGAATACAATTGTACGCAAAGGAGTGCAAGAGAAAAGGTAAAAATAACATGACAAAATTGACTTTAGTGAGGAAAAAATATGCACATTAATAATGCATTTACATTTTAATTTTATTGTATTTTGTTTTCGATGTGAATTACAGATATTGCTGGTGTGTATTCAATGTTCTCAGTATTACTATCTCTTTGTTTCTTTAAAAAAGTTTGTGGTTACTTGTTTTGGCTTATTCTGAGAATTTCGTTGTTAGGATAGCGTTTGAGATCAACTTTTGATTTTTCCAAAGCGATGGTGATACGATGTGGCGTGTTCTTTTACTACTGCTATTTGCTAAATCTAGTCCACTCACGAAATAGGGATCGGTTTGATGGTCACCTGAAGAAGAAGGGTCGTTTCGTTGTTATGATAGCGTTTGAGATCGTAAAGAATACATTATATATTTCCGGAATAAAGATGGTGATAGAGATGTGTCGTGTTCATTAAAGTGGCATTTAAAAGCGTGCTCAATACGTGACTCACGTGGTATTTTATTGAAAATATTAACATTTGTTAATGAAGAAGAACTATTTGACTGTATCTGAAAGGGAAGTGCTTTTAGTGAATTGAAACTTATCTGCAGTTCTGCAATACAAATAGAAAGGGTTTATCATTTCTACAAAAGCTTGTTGCTTGTAAACAAAATTTAGAATCCTTTTTTATTTTTTATTTAACTGATATTGAAAAG